AAAATACAAAGTAAGATTCTGTCTGTTCAGGGAGTTTCCTACATAAGGAGAGATGCTAGAGTGACATATGATTGTCAAGTTGTGCAATGGAGACTGAACGTGATGTATATACCGTGGAGATGCTGTATGGGAGCAGTCACATAGAAAAGCTTCCCTGAGGAACTAGGACTTGAGTTTACATGGAATGATTTGGACAAATGAAGAATAGTCCATACATGGTGGGAAAGATCAGCAACATGAAGTAGAAAAAGTTGTGCCCCCACAGACAGAGGGATGACCTATTCTACACTGATAGTCTGTGGGTCAATTACTGATGGAAACAAGTTCAAGTATGTCTCATTTTTCATAAGGCAATATTAGATCAATAAGCACTATCATATTATTTATAAATTCAAAGGCAAGTAAAACCTCCTTTGTTTTAAAGTCTGTTATAAATTATTGGCAGTAATGTAGGGTGTCTTACCTTGAGAGCCCAAGAGCCAAGAAAACAGGAGTTAAAAGATGCTAAGAATATAGTGCGGCGTTTCCTATGTTACATAATTATAATATGTAACATTGATTTAGTAATTTATGGTTTACAAGTGACTTCATATACAGTATCTAATTCTCATAACACTTGAGATGTGAGGCTCCCCCCTTTTTTGAAACAAGATTGCAATGTAGGCCAGGCTAGCCTATAAATCATTATGTAGCTGAGGATGACCTTCCTGCCTCTCCCTCCTGAGTTCTGGGATTACAGTTATGTGCCACCAAATCCAGGACTGGACTTTGTACATGCTAAGCAAGCACTTTGCCAAATGAGTTATATCCCTAGCCTAAGACATGATTTTTATTTTACAGATAAGAACATTGAGGGGCTAGAAAGATGGCTCAGCAGTTAAGAGCACTTATTGTTCTTGCAGAGGACTCAGATTTGGTTCCTAGCACCCACAAGGGGTTCACAACCATCTAGAACTCCAGTTCCAGAGGATCTGATGCCCTGTTCCAGGCTCTACAGGCAACAGTCATACATGTGGTTCACAGAAACTCACAAGCACACATACATATGCTACTCAAAAAGAGAGAAACAAGCAAAGAAATGAACAAAGAAAAAGAAAAGAAAGTCGAGCCAAAGACAGCTACTAGCTCTGACCATGGACCCAGTGCAAATCTTCCTCTCTACTTATAGCTTCTCTACTTATACCGAAAGCAGTATTTCAGGATGTACATCATAGGACTTCATACACTCCATCATCTAGGGAGAAACACATGGTAAGGACACTACTGTAGAAACCTAGATACAGGTAAACAGGACCTGGAGCACGTAGTAACAGAGGAGGCATACGGGAGGGGAAGATGAAGAGAAATTCCCAGGGTATAAGAAACAGAAAGCCACAAATAATTGGTTTTAGGGACCACAGCAAAGAAAGAATCAAAGTCAATATCAAAGTTTAAAATCTGAGAAAGAGTACTGGTATCATTTGTAGAAGGAAATTTCTGGAAAACCCAACTTGATAAATCAGGATTGCCTAAGGTGTTTGAATTATTGGGGTAGAGAATGCCCACATTACAGCCTGTGCTTCTACCATGCAATGTGTGCTCATAAGGATCTATACATGAATAAAAGAACAAATCATGGTTTAAAGAAGAGGAATTGCTTGAGCACAACCAAGAATAGAGTGTTTGCAAAGATAAGAACAGGAAGTCCAGAATCAGGTCTGGGTGAATGCCCTCAGCTAGGGGAGGCCTAAAACAAACAAACACAAACAAGAATCATATGGTTACAGGGAACAATGTTGGTAAGAAAAGAACTTGAAAGAAGAACCTGGGAAGGAATTCTGTAAGTTTATTTTCTTAACTCCATGAAGGAAACTTTCTTATTGTTTCAGAGAAGTCCTACTCTCCGAGGCATTTTTTGACATACTATCTTGAGAGCTTGTCTGCAGGTTCTAGCAGGGGAGTGCAGCTACTTTTTATGCCCTTGACTGGTCCTCCTCTTCAACTGACTGAGTGTGCAGCTACAGGAGGGGCACACATGGACCGTTGAAGGAAGAAGGGGACAGCTGCCTAGCCAGCCAGATCAATCGAATCAACCCTGGCGATCAATGGGCTGACAGATGTCACAGCCAGGTAACCCTCAAATCCTCAACATGTTATCTTAACATTGCCTCCTGGACCTGCTGCTTTAGGTTTCTCTCTAGTTCATAAACTCACTGTTTCTCAGGATGCCAGTTCACAAAACATATTAGTTAAAAATAGCCAAGGACACAGCTTTCTGGGCCTATTCCTGAATCACATTTTGGGAGTGCAATCTAGGAATGTGCATCTTCATAAGCGTCTAGGTAGTTTTCTATTTGAAAAAGTGACTAAGAACAAGATAATTAATCCCAGCACTTGGGAGGCAGAGGCAGGCAGATCTCTGTGAGTTCAAGGCCAGCCTGCTCTACATAGTGAGTTCCAGGACAGCTGGGGCTACAGGGAGACAGACCCTGTCTCAAAAAGACCAAAAAAAAGGGCAAAAAATACACAAATTTGAACATAGCATAAATTTTAAAACGTGACAGAATCCTTGGAACATATTCAGCATTTCTGAGGGAATTGAAAGAGAAAGCAACACTGAACTGAAGTTCAAAGAAAGTGCCTTGCAAAAACCATTTTGAACAATGAAGTAAACCACGCTGTAGTCTGAATTCAAACCAAGCACCACCAAGTTGGACGTAATCAGACAGCAACAAGGCACCACTTTGTGGTGTGGGTGGTTTGGGAAAATCGACATGCTAGTTTGGTATTGAGCTTTAAAATACACACTAGTGGCCGGGAAGATGTCTCAGCTTGTAAAGAGCCTGCTGTGCAAGTACGGGACCCTAAGTGTGGATCCTCTGCACCCACGTAAAAAACCGGGGTGTGGTAGCATCTGCCTGTAATCCTAGTGTTGAGGATGACGAGAGAGGAAGACCCCTGGTCTTGCTGAATCAGCAATCTCCAGGTTCAGTGAGAGATCTAGCCTCAAAAACATGAGGTGGAGAGTGATTGAAAAAGGCATCCCACATTGATGCCTGGGTCATATATGTATATACACACAAACACAGAGGAATATACTCCTCACACATACACACACAAACATAAACAACAAAAAAATAACAGCAGAATTTTCAGTTCATATACTTTCTCTTACCACACAGTTTTTGGAAGAAAAACAGGAAAAGATAGTCTCCTGCCATGTTATTACTTGTACTTGCAGATCACTTCCATTGCCTTTTCCAACACCTGAATAAAATAAAAAAGATACACTTATTAAAGATCACAATATCTTGTGGAGTGTGTCTTAAATCCAATCAGAAAGTGGTTGGTTATCTATGCATAAACCCGCCCCCCAAACATGGGAAAATTGATCCTCACGCCCAACCCTTCAGTTCTAAATAAAGCACTTACCATGAATAGAATAAATAAGGAATCTTTCTATCATAAGGACTTTTCTTGGAGGGAGAGTCCATTGGTAGCAAATTTTCAGTTTTTCAAAATATCCAACATATCTATTCTGCAAAGCAACAGAAGCCCCATTTAAGTGGAGATGAAAAGCCTAACGTCGACATGGCATTCCTAATCCCCCTCCTCTCTGCCCGCAAAGAGCTTGTCAAGGATAGCTAAGAAGATGAGGAAACATTTGTAGGGTACTATTACATAACCAGACATTGTTATGTATGTTGCTTCATGACAGAATCTATCATGAGAAAAAAATGCTGAACTTGGCACTATGCTGAAGTAACATGAAAGGACCCAGTTTTTGCAAATGGGCTGTTCATGCTGTTGGTTTTGAGAGTGTGGTTTGTAGTGTATGTATGTGTTTGAGTATGTGCACATGTTCAAGTGGGTGCACATGTGGAGGCCAGAGTTGTGTACTGCGTGTCATCCTTATCATTCTGCATTTTATTTTTATTTTTCTAAAGATTTTATTGATTATTTCTTTAATTTTATGTGTATGAGAGTATTGCCTACTTGTGTGTAAATGCACCCATGTTGTGCAGTTCCCACGGAGATCAGAAGAGGGTATCAGATTCCCCTGTAACTGGAGTTATGTACAGTTGTTAGCCACCATATGGGTGCTGGGACCTGAACCTGGGTCCTCTGCAAGAGTAGTCAGTGCTCTTATCCACTGAACCATCTCTCCAGCCCCTTCATTTTATTTTTTGACACAGGGTCTCTCACCATACCTGGAGCTTATTCATGTGGCTAGACTGCTGGCCAGTGAGCTCTGGGGATTCACCTGTCTCTGGCTATCCTCCTCCCCCAGTGCTGAGGTTACAGAATTCTAGCACCAGACCTTTTACATGGGTGCTGGGGACCTGAACTTAGGTTCTCATGCTTGAGTGGCAAGCACTTTACCAAATCAGCTACATTCCAAATCCCTGTTCATGCTTGAAAGATAGCTATTGAGAACAAACACCAAAATAGCCCCAACATTTCAATATGGAGGTCGAAACTTATGATTGTGTTAGAGGGGCAAATTCTAGTTTGTTGGAGAGTAGCTTTGTCATAGAGGAATGGTGTATGTGAAGTCTCTAAAGGAAACATCCATATGCTAGGAGATCACATATTCTTCTGTCTCTTCAGACTAGAGCTTCTTCGTCCGTGTTTTCAATCGTTTCTATAAGGAAGCCTTGGAGTTCTCTGGGTCCTATGCTTTCCCCTATGGCAAGCTGCTCACAAGGACTTTCCTTGGATCTTTCCTCAAGGTGTTGAAACACTCTGGTGTTGAACCAACTGGGAAGTGCTAATAAAAATCACTGTCTTACTTCCTATTAGAAATGAAAATTGAGGGTCAGCGAGATGTCTCAGTGGATAAAAGCAATTTCTGCACAAGCCTGATGACCTATTGTAATCCCCAGAATCATGGTGGAGGGAGAGAACAGACTCCCAAAAGCTATCCTCTGACCTCTACACAAATGTGTGCCCACACCCAAGCACACACAATAACAATAATAAATTAATTTTTTTTAAAGAAATGAAAGTTGGGGCTGGGGAGATTGTTCAGTGGGTAACAGCACTTGCTATGTAAGCATGAGGACCTGACCTTGAAACTATAGAACCCATGTTTTTTTGAAAAACAAAACAAAACAAAAACTCAGGCGTGGTGGCTCATGCCTTTAATCCCAGCACTTGGGAGGCAGAGGCAGGCGGATCTTTCTGAGTTCGAGGCCAGCCTGGTCTACATAGTGAGTTCCAGAACAGCTGGGGCTACAGGGAGACCCTGTCTCAAAAGGACAAGAAAAAAATAGATATGGCTCCGGGTGTATGCCTGTAATACCAGCATTGGAGAATGGAAAAAGTAAAATCCCCAGAGCTCACTTGCTGGGCAGCATAGCCCAAACAGCGAGTTTCTGGTTCAGTGAGAGACTCCATCTCAGGGCAATAAGCTAGAGATAAATAGAGGAAGACATACAGTGTCTTCCTGTGTCCCCCACATGCACAAATGCATGCAGTACACGCTAAGAAAAGAAAGGAGGAAAGAAAGGAGGAAGGAAGGCATGAAGGACGGGAGGGAGGGAGGGAGGGAAGGAGGGAGGGAGGAAAAAGCTTATCTGAGTCTGGCATACTTTCTCTTTACGTAGAACATAGATTAAAAATTAAAATTAAATAAGTGCATGTATTTATATGTACATATGTATAGATATACATACAGATATAGATAATGAAACTAGAAAGGAGATCATGGGAGAGGAGAAAGAGCTCTTAAGGGAAGGAGGACAGGGAGCGGACAGTGGAATATGTGTAATACGAATGCAGAGGGAGAAAGGGGTACTAGCTGGGGGAATGAAGGGAACCAGCCAAAGGGTGATAGGTCATGGGTAAAGGCAGTGGGGGAGGAGAATGAATGAGAACAAAATATAACATGTGTGAAGATGCCATAATGAAAGCGATTATTTCATGTGCTAGCCTAAAAAATTAGTTTCATAAAAGGAAATGACAGCCATAAGAAAGGATTCTAAAAGTTCTTAGCCCTGAAGTGGATGTAATGTGGCCAGCAGAATGGTCCACAGGAGGGGCAGGCAGGCTGTGATGTTGTGTGGGCAGGATGTGATGCTGTGTAAGAAGTACCACTCAACAGAGGGCACTCTGTCCTGTGACTTTACCAATACCTCTCCAACCTGCAGCTGAGTCCTTGCATTGTTAGTTTGATAAATGGATTACGGTGTTTTTAAGAGAAACATCCTTTTGCTGGGAACTCCTTCAAAATAACCAGGTTTAGGGAAAGAATGGAGAATGCTGTTGAGGGGTTTGAGGAGAATGGCCTCAGAATGAGTGACACACTGATGATGGCTGAAGTGGCTCTGCAGCGGGATGATGCTCCAAAGTAGTCTATTATACGATTTTTCTCTGCTTTTGTGTATGTGTTATAGTTTGATGTCACACAATACACACACACACACACACACACACTGATAGACTCATATTGAAGGCTTAACAACCAATGGAACAGTATTCAGTACTGGGTCCTTTGAGTGGTGCTTGCATTATGAGGGCTCTGACTTCAACAGATTAATCCATTGATGATTTATAATCTGATAGCATTGCTGAGATGTGGTGAGCTGTTTCGGTCAATGAGGTATGCCTTTGAAGGATGTATCCTGTCCCTGCTACTTCTGACTCTTCTTCCTGGCTACTGAAAAGTGAGCAACTCCCTCAGGCCCAAAGAAATAGGACCAGTGACCATGAACAAAAACTTCCAAAACTGTGAGCCAAAATAAATCTTTCTCACCTTTGAATACTTTTCTAAGATATTTGCCATAGCAATAAAAAGTGACAGAATATTATGTTTGGGAAATTCCATAGCTAATTTTTGAAAGGAAAAGAGGAAATAGCATATATTTCACATGGTTATTTTAAGAATTAAATGTGGCATATATAAAACTACAATAGTGTCTGCATTATAACAAGATTTTGGGAGACAGAGTCTTGTCATGATTAGGTTAGTCTCAAAATTGAGATCCTCCTGCCTCACTTAGCCTCCTGAGTGTTAGGATTACAAGTGTGAGCTATCATTCCTGGCTCATAATAGAATTTTTCCAAAATATTTCTTCCTCCTTTTCATTCTCCTCTGAAATATAATCTCCCCCTCCTCCCCCCAACACAGACACACAGAGGCACACACACACAGGCACACACTGGCACACAGGGGGATCATCCAGCATTGGCCCTAGTGCTGTTCTGCAAGGGTTGAGATGCTCATTTGTTCCAGAAGGGGTCCGGAAATGACTCAATTCCTCTTTCATGGAAGTCTGTGGCTAGTGGGCTTTAGATGATAATTACAGATCTGGAACTTGAGGTATTAGATCACCCCACTTTGGGAGAGTAATCAATTCCTGAATTCTATCAACAGTAACAAATACAAAATAGAAAGTAGAACATTCTGGGGAGATGACAAGGCTTGCCAAGCACAGGCAGCATCTGAGGTGGGGCATCTGGCCTCAGAAAAGGGAGCAAGGACTGTTCCAGGGCACCCAAGCACTAGCGCCTGACCACCAGACCGGAGGAGTGGAAAATGAAACCAAATGACAACTGCTAACCCTACCCGCCCCCCGCCCCCCGCGCCCGAAGACGCCCCTCTGAAAAAGAACCCTTACCTGAGAAGGAGTTTCTATTCCTTGAAATTTAGAGCTGCTAGTTTTATCTGTTCGCCGTTCCCCCAAAAAGTAAAGACTTTGCTACGAAAAAGGGAAGAAGAGAACCACGGTTCAGTTCCACTCTTCTTTTTCCTAGGTTAGGCATTCCTGAAGTTTCTAACTTCCCTAAGTGGTCTCTGGGAACAGACTACCCCAAATAGCACAATTAGAAACCCACATTCAGGGGTCTGGAAAGATAGTTCAGCAGTTAAGAGCACTGACTATTCTTGCAGAGGACCCAGGATCAGTTCCCAGCATCCAGGTGGTGGCTAACAACCGTCTTTAACTCCGGTTCCAGGAGATCTGATGCCCTCTTCTGTCCTCCACAGGTATTGCACAACACAAATGTATTTACATACACACAGGCAAAGCACTCATACATGTAAAATAAAAATAAATAAATAAATATTTTAAAAAGGAAAGTCACATCAAGGGCTTCCCTAGTTCAAAGGCTCACAAATACATAGAATGCTAAAGCTAGAAAGGTTAGAAATCATTGTCCAACTTCTTCCTACTTTCATTCTACAAACAAGAAACTGAGGCCAAAAGAAAACCAAGTGACCTATGTTGCTGCCAGGTAGAAGTAGCCCCACGCCTTGGCCAGTCTAAGGTGCCAATCAATGGCTTTCAAACAATTTTTATTTAATGAAGTGCTGATCATAATCCAGTAAGTTGATGTGTATGTGCATAGACATGTGTTCATACAGTTGTGTGTGCATGTTTGTGTGCATGCATGTGGAAGTCAGAGTCATGAGTATCTTCCTTGTCTCTTCTTCCCTCCCCCCTCCCTCCCCC